CTCACCCCTTAGATCTTCGACCACTATTCTGTCCTCCAGCTCTGAAATCTGGGAGGCCATTCCCAGCAGCAGCTGATTCACTGCCTGAATACTGTTCAGATTGGGGTTCTGGAAGTAAACAACACACTTCATCAGGTAGGCTTTCAGGTCCCTCCCCAAAAGCCCAGTCCTTCTCATCCTGGACCACTGCAGAACCTCAAGGAAAAGAGCCCTTAGCCAGTCCTAGACTCTCTTGAGCTGTTGTTCCCAAATAATTTTCTGATCATCTTACACCACCCTGGAGTAACAATACCCAAGAACTGGAATCATTGCTTTTCCCAGCCTGTGTGATGAGACTGACTTTGACCCATCTTCCTCTGACCCTGAGCCCAGGCTGACCTCCCGAATCCAGTAGCTGTTGCAAACTCTGAGAGCTGGGGAGGTGCCAAAGTCCTTGTTGAAGATTTTCTGGAAATGGCAGCTGGCATTTCTGAAATAGGGAATCAAGGATGTGGTAAGGGAATTCAGAAAAGAAGCTGAGATGGAGTTGAGGGACTCAGATGGGGTTGGCCAGGACCGAGGGATGGCCCCTGAACTTCTTTGAACAGAATAAGGATCTAGCAATGAGTGTGGATTGAAAGTAGAGGTTGCTCTTGTCCACACAGTCGGGAGAAGGAGGGAAGAGAGCGACCCAGCTGCTGGACAAATCCTGCTCTCAGCGACTGAAGTTCAGCCATAAGGAGAAGCTGGAGAGATTTACCTGTTAGACTGAACCTCCTAATCTAGGGTCCTGTTTCAGGACTCCAAATTCTGCTTCCCTTGGCCCATGACACTGTGGAGGTATATAAAAGGCTCCAGGAGGTATATAAAAGGCTGCCACTGATTGGGCAGTTCTGCCAGCGATGTGCCAGCACTTCTCTCACCTCATGTAGACGCCAGGGGGCACCATAGTGGAGAAAAACTGTTCAGAAGCCGCCAGGAACTCTGGAGAGATGCTGGGGTCCAAGAAAGGGCGGTACCCTGTTCCACCAGAGTATTAAGAGAAATAAGTTCCTTACCTCTACATCGTCCCATAACATGCGCTCCTATGGATCCTGATCACACACACACCCTCAGCCAAGGTGTCCCCCTAAAGCTGTCACCTGTATATTCTGGAGGTGTTTTCTGCAGGAAGCTGGGCAGCCACTCATACAGAGCGATGTTCTGAGGGTCAAGAGACAGGGAAGAGGAGGCGAGTGCTGGAGCTGCCAGGCCAGAAGGGATCTGAGCCCAAGGAAGGCTTAGGTGGGAGATGAGAACCAGGCAGGGGCAGTCATGGGAGAGGCAACTCAAACAAACGGGAGACGTGTGGAGGCCTGTCCCGGAAGGGCACAGGGGATTTCGCGGTGGGGGAGCTAAACCTCTCATGTAAGTAGCACTTTGTCTCCTTATCATTTCGGGGTCTATTCCTAGACGTTAGCTCTCTGGGGAGGGGTGTCCTCCCGGAAGAGGTCGTTTCTGGGTGGCGGATGGTCAAGGATGGAGGGCTCTGTGGAAATACAGAGTCTCCTGTGGAGCAGGACATGGTGGGAAGGCATGCCGTGCGACTGACCTGGTAGGTGGCAATGACCCTCTTGCGCGCGTGCTGGAACAGCTCCTCGTCCCCCCAGTGCGGGTGCTCGCGGGCCAGCCTCCGTGCACACAGATTGTGGTAGCGGAACCAGAGCAGGCCCAGCGCCTGCAGGAAGGGCTCGCGGTTCCCTCGCTCCGCCCCGAAGGCTGCATCCAACGTGGGCACAGGGGAGATGAGTGGCGGTGTGACCCAGGGGAGCCGCACCTCGCGGACCGCAGCCCGCCCTCCAACCAGCCCTGGCCTGCGCTCGGTCGCGCCCGCGCCCCCGCCGGGCCCCGCCACCTCACCATACAGCCCTTGGGGCCCGCGCTGTCCCGTGGCGGGGTCGGGAGCGTTCCACATGAGCAGGGGGCTCTGCGCGTCCCGGGGGAAGGCGGGGTCGGGCCCGGACGCCAGCTGCCCCCCGGAGAAGCTCCGCAGCGCGTCGCTCCAGGAGTGCGAGGAGCCATAGATGGCGCTGCCGTCCAACCAGCCCGTCACCTCGTTGGTCTGCGGGGTCACGGACTGGTGAGCCGGGGTCGGGTAGCCCAGGAGCTTAAGGGAAGGCCAGGGCCAGGCGGGTGTCCGTGGGTGGGGGATGGGAGCCTCTGCCACCCGACCCTGCCAGGCTCTGGGCCCAGGGCCCCACCCTCCTCGTTGCAGCCCCCTCCCCGCCAACTGCCTCGTCTCACTAGGTCCCGGGGGTTGCTGGGGCTCTGTCCGGTCTTGGGGTCCCAGCGGCTCCTCTGGAATGGCAGCACCACGTCTCCGCGCTGGTCCGGGTCAAACACGGGGTCTCCAGGCGGGATGTGGATGTTGAGGAACTCGGCGGGGCAGCCGGGTCTCTCTACACTCACCAGGTCCGAGAGCACGTGGTAGCCTGCGGGTCAGGAGCGCAAATGTAGAAAATCGCCACTCCTCATGGCCAGGGCAGACTCCAAGTTTCTCAAGAGTCAAAAGGCAGTATGTTCGAGTGCAAGCTCCGCCACCAGTTCTGTGGCTTTTTTCTAATCTGCAAAGTGAGAATATAGTACCCTCTCCACCAACCTCATAACTTTGTTGTGAGAATCAATATAATATTATTAGGGCTCTCGCAAGCCATCTTCTATCAGATCCAGCCACCACTACTCCTCATCTTGGGAGGTGGGGGTTGTGAAGAGCGTGATTATATCAGGAGGATATGGGTGGCAGAGGACTCATCTGCTAAGAGCTATAGTGCGGGTCCAATGGCACGCTTGGGTTTGGAGGAAGGGGCAAACGAAATTATAGGAGAAAATACCCCTGCATCGACACCCACATCACTCTGAGATGAGGAAAGGCTCGAAGTGCTGCTTGGTGCGGGGAGGAGGTGGCTGGGAGTCCCAGATCGGTCCTTGTGGACTTGCAGAGGGACCTCAGTGGATCAATCTCGATGTTTCTCCCCTTTGACCTTACCGAAGAAGACCCCTAGCACCGTGCGGTTGCGGTGGGATGCCTGCCCGGCTCTGCCCCGCGTGGCAGCGTCGCTGAGTCTGCGCGGGTTGGGCAGTAGCGGCTCCTCCAGAGCCTGATAAACGCCATCCGCGTAGTAGGCTGGTACAAGGCGCTGCAGTCGGCTGCCTGCAGGAAGCAGGAGGGAGAGGGGCTTGCCAAAGCACTCTGTCCCCAACAAGCCCACTAACCTTGACCTATTCCTCCCTCAATCACCAGCTCTCAGTGACGAGACCCCCTCTCCCCAAGGTCTCCTGGCCCCAGGAGTGCATAGGAGTTCCGGCGCAGGCAGCCAGGCGTCTGGCGGCACGCTCTTTCCTCTTCTCTGCGCCTAGTGCCCGGCGCCTTTGTTTTCACCCCGGCCACAGGACGCACCTGCAGCTCCGCGCTTGTGATGCCTCAGGTTGTTGAACCAGCCATCATAACGCTGCACTTCCCAGGGCAGTGAGAGTGCGTCCTGGCCGCCTGTGGGTCAGAAAGTGGTCCCTCAGCGCTAGACTCCCTGCGACACCTCTGGGACTCGACGGTCTCCGTCTGTGTTTCTCTGCCTGGCGTAGCACCTCTAAACCGACCCGAGTGGCGATACTTGCACGTCGTCGAGGCTGCGCTGGAAAGTTTCCCATCCAGCTGAGCCGCGCAGAGATCTGACCTGATCTTCCAGCCTCAGACAACCGCTTGACCGCAGTTCTCCCTTCTCTTATCCCCAGGGGAGACTGGGTGACATCCTGAAGCTGGGGGGCTGGGGGGGCTGATGCTTACCCGCTGGATTCAGGGGTCCAGTCAGTAGAGCTCCCAGGAGCACCAGTGTTTCTGGCCTTGCGTGGAGCATGCTGACCCGGTAGCCTGGGGGATAGGAGGTAGTATGTGTGGGACCCGGAGCTGACGCCCGCCACAGCCGGCACAGAGGGAGGAAGCACCAGCTGTTTTCACTTCTAGAGCAGAACTTTTAGAAGTATTACCAAGGACCAGAAACCGCACTCCACTCTTTTTAGGACTCCTGGCAGCCGTGTAGGCACTGACGCTAGTCCCCACTCTCCACCCCGTCGAAGAACTAACCCTGACCACAGGAACTCACGAGATACAAGTCTTGTGGGGCATGTCAGTCCCTGGCAGGACTTTACCTCCAGCCTCCGAAGCCCGCCCCCCCCCAAAGCCTCAAATTCCCACTCCCAGCCCCCCAGGAACTGCTTCTCCTACAGGAAGCAGGGAAAGGAAAGCGGCGAGTGAGCTAGAGGCCGGGGCTTGCAGCCCTTCATACCCCACAGTGAATGTCTGTGTATGGACACAAGGGGTGAGAAGATTGAGATCAGGCCACAAGCCCGGATCCAAGCTCTCTGGTTTAGGGCCCCATTCAGGGTCAGAAGTCTTCTTTCCTCTGGGAATCTTTGCATCTCTGCTCTGCTTCCTGCCTCCGCCACCCCACTCCACCCGGCCACCTGCTCCGCAGATCTTCAGCCTCCCCGGAAGCATTCTCACCCTCCTCTCTGGGTTCTCTGAGGTCAGCTGAGCGGTGTCCACTCTGGTCAGACCAGCTCCAGGAGTGAGTATCTGGACTCCCGGCTCTTGCTCCTGCTGAGGAGGATGGGCCCTTCTCATTTGCATAGGGACCGCCCCCTCTCATTTGCAAGATCTCTTCCCGGTAGGACTCGGTTGCCAAGCCCCTATAACCGCTCTGTACTCTGTCCACGCTGCTATAAAAGAGGTCCCCGCCCCGCGCGACTTCCAAACGCAGAGTAAGCCCACAGAGGCGCGAAGCCACAGCCAGCGAGAAATAATCCCGACTCTGCCCTGGCGAGCCGAGGGGCTCAAACTTGACCTGCCCATTGGGTAGCTCCCTAGCACTGAGAAGGCAGGATAAAGAAAAGTGACACGCCACAGACCCCACGGACGCTCTCCCGGCTTAAGCAGACTTGGCTCACCAGCTTCTCGCCTGCACGCACCCGCTCGGCCGGCTTGCAGCATGACTCTCTGGGATGGCGTGTTGCCTTTCTATCCCCAGCCCCGGCATGCTGCCGGCTTCAGCGTCCCGCTGCTCATCGTCATTCTGGTGTTCCTGACCTTGGCCGTCAGCTTCTTGCTCATCTTGCCTGGGATTCGTGGCCACTCGGTAAGGGGGTGCTAGAAGCTCGAGTCTGGGGGTGGAGGGCGTCATGGGCACTTTGTCTCTGGAGGACCCAGGTAAGACTGCAGCAAGGACCTCCATTGAATAGTCACGCTGAGGCACTGAACCTGACCAGCACAGGTGGAGCAGAACACGAAGTCTAGTGAGGAAGCACCCCTTCTCAAGGACAGGGAGAGGTCCCATTTAAGACATCCTAGAGACTGACCCAAACTGGATTATTTAAGAGGCCGCTAATAGTGGGTGTTCCATCCAGTAATTTTAGGGCTGATTCTAGTCTTCTTGTGTTACCAGGGCCTCCTGCCTCTCCTCAGACTGCGGCTCCACTCCCATCCCCACATCCATTCCGTCCTCTAGGTAGTGTCTGTGCTGAATTGAGATGCATGTGTTTTGGTGCCCTCATCCTAAGGACTCAGACACTCCTGCACAGGATTCAAAGTTGTAGCAGACTACTTTCGTGTCTGTGCTGAATTGAGATGCATGTGTTTTGGTGTCCTCATCCTAAGGACTCAGACACTCCTGCGCAGGATTCCTTAGATTTCCCCCTCTCCCAGAACCTTGGTTGTTTGCTTTTCAAGCCTAGGAGGAACTAGCCTCCCTGAATCTTGACCTGCCTTGGTTTCTTGGGAAACTGGTGCACCTAGGAATATCTGAGAGGCTATGTTCCCACCTCCTCTACTTAATGACCAAATCCTGGAGCCTCCCTCTTCTGGGAGAGGTGACCTCTGGCTGCCTAGCACTTCAGGATTCACTGAGTCTCATCATAGCAGTGACTGGAGCAGGAGGCAGAACAAGGACCAGGAGCCAGGTAGCTGTGGGAGCAAAGGTAGTGGTAGAGCACCAGGCAGACAGTCTTGTTGCAAGATGGACTGAGAATAGGGCTGAGGAGGCAGAAGGTCAGAAAACAGAAATACCAGTGGCTCAGAGGAACATGTACAAAAAGCAAGCCTGACTTCAGCCTCAAAACATCAGGAATGTAACTGGGAAAAGGGTGTGGGGCAAGAGAGAGGGGTACTAAAGATCTGGGTGACATGCAGTCATGGGAGGTCTTGGGAACTCTGGATGAGCAGCATCCAGGCTTGACCTGGTTACCTGTTCTTGCAGCGCTGGTTCTGGCTGGTGAGAGTTCTTCTAAGTCTGTTCATAGGCGCAGAAATCGTGGGTGAGTGTATGGTGTAGTGGATGGGGAGAGGCCCTGGGGTGAGGAAGAAGGTGGGCAGAGGGCACTGGGAAAACGGAGAACTGGGGTTGGTTTCTTGCTCCCTCTCTCCATTCTCCAGCTATTTCTAGTGCTCACTCTTCTGCCTTTACCCTGTATACCACATCTCTCTGCAGTGTCCCACCTCCCATCACCACTCTCTCAGCTCCATCTCCCCAGTCTCCTCTCTAACTCTCTCCTCCTATCGTGTACCTCTACCCACAGCCGTGCACTTCAGCGCTGAATGGTCAGTGGGTAGGGTGAGCATCGACACATCCTACAAGGCTTTCAGTGCTGCGCGCATCCGAGCCCACCTTGGTCTGCATGTGGGCCTGGAGGGGATTAATATCACACTCAAAGGTGAGGGGGCTAGGACTAAGCGAACTCCTGGGGTGGGCAGACTCCATGGTTGAGAGAGGGTGGCAGGGACAGCTGCAGGACCTCTCAGATCCAACAGGCACAAAAAGCTTTTGGTCCTCGTGGATTTGTGTTTTCCCCAACTACTGCCAAACCTATTTCTCTTGCACCCCCACTTTCGTATTCGAATCCGCTTAGTTGCTGGGTCCCCTGGCTGTACGCAGCCCCCTGACCCAGCCGGCCTCCTCAGGGAGCCCAGTGCAGCAGCTGAACGAGACCATCAACTACAACGAGCAGTTCAGCTGGCGTCTTGGCAAGGACTATGTCGAGGAATACGAGGAGGCACTGGAAAAAGGACTGCCAGATCCAGTTCTGTACTTGGCGGAGAAGTTCACCGTGAGCAGCCCCTGCGGGCTCTACCGCCAGTACCGCCTGGCGGGACGCTACGCCTCGGCTCTGCTGTGGTGAGTGCTGGAAGGAAGGCAGTGTGTGTGTGTGTGTGTGTGTGTGTGTGTGTGTGTGTGTGTGTGTGTGTGTGTGTGTGTGTGTGTGTGGCGGGGAGTGGGGGCAGCGGGCGGGGAGCCAGAGAACGTGAGCTGCGGTTACAGCCCGATGCACTCGGGGTGAGAATTCCCGCCGCGCGGGTCAGAAAGTCCTGAGGTCCGCACTAACCGTCGGAATCCGGAGAGACTCAGCAACGGCAGGGAGGTCGCTACACCCTTTGGGAGTTTCCGCTGGGCTTCCGCCACCCCACCCCTGGCTTTCGTTCTGGGGTAAGGACAAAAGGCTGGGATAAGCCGGCTCACAGCGCAGCTGGTCCTCCCGCAGGGTGGCGTTCTGCCTCTGGCTCCTCTCCAACCTGCTGTTCTCCATGCCAGTCCCACTCTATGGAGGCCTGATGCTCCTAGCCACCGGCGCCTTTGCGCTCTTCTCTGTCTTCGTCTTCGCCTCCATCTCCAGTGTGCCACTCTGCCGGATCCGCCTCGGCTCTTCCGCGCTCACCACGCACTACGGTGCCGCCTTTTGGGTCACGCTGGCCACGGGTGAGGACCGAGTGGATGGGCTAGGGGCGGCTGGGCATGGGGACGGGATTTTTACTGGTGCGTGCCTTCTAGTTTACAAAATGAGTTCTCCCATATTACTAATTTGCCCCTTTCAATAGTTCGTAGAGGCGGGCACTATTATGCCCGTTTTACAGATGAGTGGAGAGGGTATAGAAGGGTTAGATAACTTGCCCCTTAGCATGCGAACCGTGTATGATGTAATCCATACCAGAGATCTTTCTAAGCGCACAAGTGCGTGTGTCGGGGAAGGAAAAGTGAGGGCTGGCCTCCAACAGAAGGAAGGCGTAGCCCTAACCGGCCCCTTTTCCTCGCGTCCGCGGTGCCGCAGGGGTCCTGTGCCTCCTCCTGGGAGGAGCGGTGGTGAGTCTCCACTACACTCTACCCAGCGCTCTTCGCTCCTTCTTGGACCGAAGCGTCAAGGACCGTGGTAACCAAGAGAGAGGGGGCTCACCTCTGAACTTCAACAACCCACTACACAAGAAATTTGAGGCCTCGGACTTAACGATCAGTACTCATCTGTGAAGGAGACTCAACCTCGGACTCCTACTCCGCCTCCGTACACCGCAGGCCAGGTTCAGTGCCCGCCGGGCCTGGGCCAGGAGACCTCTGGAACTGTGGGAGCTGCGCTGTAGAAGCCCAGGGAAAGGTGGGCGGCCACAGACTTGCACTGTGCACCCTGGCATCTCCCAGGGAGAGCTGTAAATAATTTTTTTTCCTTTTGTTTTTTAAAAAAATTTTCCTCCCATTAAATTCTATGGCGTCACCAGGCTCTTGGGGGACACAGGCCCTCGGGAGACTTCGCTGGGCTGGAGGCAACCTAGAACATTCTCTTTCTGACTTGCCACGATCCCGGATTCTCTCGGTCTGGAGAATCCAGACTAAGCCGTGAAACGCTCTGGGAGAAGGGCGCCCTCTAGTGAGCCCAGACGCGAACCAATCGGAGCAGCATCAGAAAGATGCGCCTCAAGTGGATGGTAAGGCGTAGAGACCAAGCAGATGGCCCTCTCACTGACCCATTGGGCTCCCCCTCCACTGGTCCAGCTAAGTGAGCTAGGAAGGAATGGCGTTTTGGAGTTTATTCACTAACTCCAGTTTATTCACTATGGAATGGTGTCTGAGGCCCAAAGTAGATGTTAGCAAGGCCTAAAAATGTAAGTACTGGGATTTTTAAAAAAGGTCCTTGTCGAGTCTTACGATTTTATTTGGCAAATTTTAGAACTGAAGCTCAAAGGGAATGTGGCGCAGTTGGTTAATATTGAGGGGAGATGAGAAGTTTAGTTTCTTCTCACTTCCAGTGCTGTCTTTCATTGTACCAAATGGTCGCACAAACTTGGGAAGTAAAGAACAAAGAAGACCCAGGAAAAATAAAAACAAGAGGCGCAGAAGGATGAGAGGGACCACAGGAGAATCACACTGTAACTGCCCCCAATCATTATGTGGGTAAAGCTGAGTTTCAATAAATGACACCTTGAAGAGACTAAGCATCAAAGAAAGGCAGGGTTGCTATGTGGAAACAGGGTCAGCCCCTGCTTGGTTTTACCATGTGACAGGGTTTATGGGCAGCTCTAATATGTTCAGCACCTTAGGGCTTTTGTTTTTTAACATCAATAAGTAGAGCCTCCTTTTTCTACTCCACTTATAGACTGAGGCTGAGGGCTGATATAACCCATTCTGTGGGCAGTTCTCATGGATTTATGGGGCTCCAGTGAGGAAGTCACTGGAGCCACACTGGAAAGTCTGAGTGGCCACCAAGGAGAGGGACCTTATAGGGCACAATCAGGCACTCTGGGGTGCTCCTCCTTACAGCATGTCTCGGAGGAAGCCTCAGACAGAGAAATGTCCTGGGACTGGGGACTCTCAGCTGTGGACCGGTAGCGGGGGCTCAGGAGTCCTCCTTCCTCAGGATTCCACTTCAGCCCAGGATTCTCTCCCACACTCTGGTTGAAGAAAGCCTTCAGCCTGTGGGGCTGCATCCTGTGTGCCACTGCCATGGCCAGGCTCAGCAGCACGCAAAGCACTCCTGGGGATGAGGCAATAGGTGTCTCCCTTAGTGATTGTGACACCCTCCCAAGGACATTTTCTCCTAAGAGCATCAGAACAACTCCAAAGGAGGCCTGGCATCCCTACTTCATGGTAACTTGGGCTCAGGGAGATGACCGGCTTGGGGTCATATAGTTGGTGTTGCTCTGTTGTTGTGAGTTATGGACTATAAGCCCAGTGCTCTTTCAATTACATCTCAGGGAGGGAAGGAAGGAGGGAGAGAGAGGGAGACAGACAGATAGACAGACGGGGCGGGGGGAGAGAGAGAGAGAGAGAGAGAGAGATTGGGAAGGTGGGGGAGAGGGAGAGAGAGCTCTGAAAACAGAAACCCTGGGGAAAGGACAGCAGGGCACAGAGGAGGAGGCATGGGGAGGGGCATGAGGGATAGACACAGTGGGACAGGAGAGGATAATATGACGGCAGGACAATTTAAGGCTATGTGAGGGAGGGACAGAGAAGGGTTCTAGGAATAGGAGACACAGAGAAGAATATTGGAGGAAGCGGGAGGGGCCATGAGATTGGAAGATTTGGGAAAGAGCTGGGTGAAGAGAGTTGAGGACATAAGAGGGAGAGAGGACACAGGCTACTAAGAATATACAAGGAGGGAAGGGGAGTGGAACTGTGGAGAGAAAACCCGGAGATAAGGGATATGAGAGGGATCAGGCTTTAAAGAGGGGAAAGGCATTCTGGCCCCCAGACTCTCAACCCCACCAGCATAGTGGTCCCTGACCCTTCCTCCCTGGCCCTAAGCTCTTCAGTGCCTGTCTTCAAGGCTGAGCCTCACCTGTGGTCAACGTGATCCAAAAGGCAGGCCCAAGGCGAGTTTGCAGCACTGCACTGCCCAGGCGCAGGGGACAGGGTTGGGTAAGTGATGTGGCAATGGAGAAGAAAAGCAGTCCCAACAGCTGGAAGATCCCCGTGGCCAGCAGCATGTGGCCTCCGTATAGCAGCACAGGCATGGACAGCATCACGTTGGCCAGCAGCCAGCAGAGGAATGCTACCCTGGAGAGCCAGGACCTGGTGAAAGCTGACCCAAGCACCTCTGCCTGGAGGGACCCAGGTAGAGACTAAGGGACTCAAGGATACCCCAAAGATGTGAGGTAGGGTTTCTGCCTGTGGGCTTCACAACAGAGTACTGTGGTGACTGGTGCCAGCCTGTCCAATCAGGGACCTTCACATGAGTGAAGGAGAGATGGCTAGGAACCCTGTTCCTGGGTCTAGGCCAGCAGGACCTCTATCTTACCCTTACCACAGAATGGCTGAGGTGTAGTGTCCTGCCAGGCGATACTGGCCATGTAGACCACATGGGCTGTTCGGGGAGAACTTCTCTGCCAGGTAAAGCACAGGGTCTGGCAGCCCCTTCTCCAGCGCCCTTGCATACTCCTCAGCATAGTTCTCGCCTAGGCGCCAGGTGAACTCCTCATTGTAATTGATGGTCTCATTCAGCTGCTGCACTGGGGTCCCTGGAAAATGGGGCAGCTGTGTTTGGCAGGGACCCAAGGGCCAGAGTGGGGCATTTGCCTAGGTAGGGGCTCACCACACCAGGCAAAAGGACAGGAGCTGGTCTCAATGGAGAGAAGTCAGCTTCCAAGGCCTGAGAATGTCCCCTCCTAACCATCCCACCATCCTGTCTGTAGCTCTTTAGACCATACCAGACTAGATCCCAAAGATACAGAGCAGAGCCTTCTCCTCCCTCACAGGTAAGAGCCCTCCCTCACCTGTGAGTGTGATGTTGACTCCTCTAAGCCCAAGCTGCAGGCCAACATCAGCGCTGATCCACTGGGAACTGAAGGCTTTATATGATGTGTTGGTGCTGACCTGGCCCACGGACCACTCAGAACTGAAATTCACAGCTGAGGTTGGGGAGTTGGACATGTGGGAACTCAGGGAAGCCTAGGCATTGCTGGATTAGAGTTAGAAGGAGAGCTACAAGGGGACCGTGTCTGCTTTGTTCACAATTGTGTATATCCATTAACTGGCCTAGTGTCTGGTTGGTTTGCCAACAATATGTGGAATGAATAAATGGAACAGAATCCAAGATTTCCCTTGGTCATACTCCTCTCACCCCTCTCTCCCTTCCTCCCCCCATTTAAGGAGAGCTACTCAAATAGCTGGGAGAGGAAACATTAACATGATAAATAAACTGTTCTGGGCAAACACAGACTTTCCATCTCTACTATTTGCCTAATTCTCAAAGCAAAGCAAGCAGCCCTCTCCCATTTCCTCCCTCCAGTCTCCAAAGACCTTCTCCCCACAGACATTCATTTTGACCTGCTTTCCTCCAAATAAAATGTTAGGAAGGTTGAAGAGATGCATCCAGGATGGTTTCCCAGAGCCCACACCCCTCAGGGCAATGGTAAGAGTGAGGGGCTAAGGCCATGCTGAGGGAGGCATGTCTAGATGACCACCCTGAAGCAGAAACTGCCATGGAGAAACAAGGAGAGGCCAGGCAGGATGCTGAGGGACCGAGGTGGGTCAGAGGCACTGTCCAAGTCAGGTATGCTTCATACTCACCCAGGATCACAGCCCCAATGAATAAGCTGGTCACCACCCGCAGCAGCCAGAATAGCCTCTGATCCATAGGGGGAGGAGGAGCGGTGTTAGGAAGGAGCACTCTCCTTCCAAGTCCACAAGTCCACCCTTCCTCTTTCCAGACTTGGGGAGAGTGTTCTAAACCTGAGGTCACTTGGTCAATGGAGATCAGAGTACCTGGCACATAGCAAGTGCTCAAAAACCATCTGTTGAATCAATGAGTAGGGGAGCTCTCTGTTGGGGAGGGGTGCTTTCTCAGGACTGCAGCGTCTTTCCTGAGTTTGGGTGTATTCAGAGAGTCTGGTCCCCTCACCTCAAGGCCAAGGTCTCTCTGGGGCTGGGGTCTCCAGGGTTCGTTTCTCACCATTTTGCCCCGAATGCCAGGCAGGATGATGATGAAGGTGACCAGTGCAGTCAGAAAGATGGTGATGATGATGGCCAAGGTAGTGTCCATTGAGAAGGTTGGCTTGGGGCCAGGATAGAAGGGGAATGTGTGTCCGAAAGCAGCCATTTTGGTGAGGTCGTGCAGGAGAGATGGATGCTGTACAACAACAATAGATGTTTACTGAGTGCCTTCTATGTGCCAGGCACTGTTCTTGCTGCTGGAGATACAGTCAAGAATACACCAAACCAGGCCCCTCTTCTCTGGAGCTCACCAGACTCCACCGTTACTGCCATTCCACTGCCCCTCAGCCATCCAGCTCCCCGTGTGTTTTGGCTGTGAGTGAATGAGGGTCTTGGCATTCAGTCTCTGTTGCCCTATGCTCCCTTCCTAACCCCAGGTCCCCTAAATCAATGCCACCACTACCCTCAAGGCTTCTCTGCTTCCTCTGGGACTGTCTTAAGAAAATAATTCTTTTTTTTTTTTTTTTAATCTCCCTTAGGCCTCCAGCACAAGCAGACAGATTGTAGAACACAAAAAGAGCTATGTTTACTATCAAGTAAAGGCATAAGGGTGAAAGATGGTGTTACAGATTACAAAAAGATTGGCTTTCTTTCTCAGTTCCCAAAGGAACAAAGGCCAGACAGCTCTCCTAAGCACATAATTCAATTACATCATCAGAGGGCTGATTCCCAGACCTGGCACTGCCCACTCTGGTCTGTCCAGCTCTCTCAAGCACCTGGCTTCTGCTCTGGCAACTCTAGAACAATCAAGCTGAATTGAGTTTACCTCAATAAGTACTGAAGGATCACCCACCCTCCACCAGGCACAGTGCTAGAGCCAGATGTCCCTCTACCCCACACATCAACAGCAGCCTTCCTCCTTGACTTAAATTCCCAGGCCTCATTTCAGCTCAAACCCTGGCTCAGCTCTTCTCTGCTTGTCCTGTGATCTCAGAGCTAGTTTGACGTATATGACAGACGATATTATTATGTGTGAGAGAGAGAGAGAGAGAGAGAGAGAGAGAGAGAGAGAGAGAGAGAGAGAGAGAGAGAACGAGAACTAAGTAAACCATGACAGCCATTTTTTTCTTTTCTTTTTTTTGGGCGGGGAGGGTGTTTTGTTTTCAAATTTTTACCTTTTTTGTTGTTGTTGTTGTTGTTGTTGTTTTTCTTTCATTTCTAATATTTTTTTTTCATGTTTAGTTCTCTGTACATGACAGTCATCATTATACCTCAATTCCATGATATGCCTCAACTTCAGAGATGTCAAAAAGTGAAAAGAAATGCATCCTATAATCAATGATCCCTGCTCCACTCATTTCCCTGCGTAGGACCTATACAGGGACTTGGGTTTGCCCAGGAGGCTCCATGACTTATAGTCTGACCAGATAGTGTCTTGTTAAGTGATACAGTGAAAGAATAAGCTTCGGAGTTAAGCAGCTCTGTGTCAGAATTCCACCTCTGCCTCTTGCAAGTTACCTGACCTCTACAGAGACTTGGTTTTACTAAAAAAATAGGGATGATAATAATGTTTACCTCAGAGGGTCATTGTGAGTATGAAATGAGATTGTGTATGTAAAGTGCTAAGAATATTACCTAGAACAGAGTAATATCAATAAATGGAAACTACCAGATTGGGAAGGAAGGGGCATTTCATTACTCCATTTATCTATTTCTCCAGTCTTTTCTGTGGGCTGGAATCAGTTCTGGATCTGGTTCCAGTTCTTTAGTGGCTAATTTATCGTTTTTAAAAAATATATGAACATTTATTATTTATTTTTCATTTAAGTATAGGTAATATACAATATTATATTAGTTATATTAGTTTCAGGTGTACAACAATATAGTGATTCAACATTTTTATACCTTACAATGTGATCACTAATTCTAGTAATCATCTGTTCAATGACTAATTTTTTAACATTAGACAGGCAAATGACAACTTCCTCTGTCCTTGGTTTCCTTATCTGCAAATGAATATGATGATCCATGGGTCCCTTCCAATTCTAAATTCTGTGATTCTCTTATAATACACTATAGCCTTCCCCTCTCCTTCTAAGCTGGCCATCTCCTTGTGCTCTCTCTGGGGGTAGCATGATATCAGCAAAGAAACAGAAAGATGGATGGTTTTAACTTTTAATCCTGTCCCATAACCTCTGAGTCTCAGTTTTAACATGTAGTTTTGCTTTTTTCTTAACTTGTAAACTCTTCCATCCCAGAGAAATGGGTATCTCCTTTTCTCCTGGGCTCTGCCCCTAGTCCTGCCTGCCTTCACCACCACCTTTTTCATCAGTTATCCCTTCTCTTTGAAACTTCGCAGCTCCTCTTTCTCCTCTGGCTCCTTCTCTCAAGGAGATGCTTAAATTTCTCTCCTATCAAGAACACAAGAGTCTACGGCTATGCTACCCTGAACAAACCCAATCCCATCTGATCTCGGAAGCTAAGCAGGGTTGGGCCCGGTTAGTTAATACTTGGATGGGAGACCACCTAGGAAGACCAGGTGCTGTAGGTGTAAAAAATAAAAAAATAAAGGATTGTAAGCTGACAACGTCCTTGCAATCTGTGAGGTCAACCAAGGGTTGCCTCGCCTATAAATAAATAAATAAATAATAAACAAACAAACAAACAAACAAATAAATAAGAACACTAAGAAAAAGGACTCTCTCCCTTAACCTTCTGGGTCCCCTCCAGCTACCATCTTATTCCATTCTCTCCCTTTCACAGTCAGGCTTTTGGGAGAATAGTTCATGTTGATATTACCACTGCCTTATCTCCTCTCCTCATTGCGATCTGACTTTTCCCCATGCTCAACTTCTCCATTAGGTCACCAAGCGCTAAATCCAAAGAGAAGTTTTCTCTTTTCATCCTTTGTGACCTGTCTGTGGTATTTGACACTGTGGATCATTCTCTCTTTCTTCAAACTTTTCCTACTAGGACATCTATGACACCATGTTCTCCTGGGCCTCCTGCCTTTGGCCATCCTTTTGTGAATCCTTTGCCAGTTCTTCCTCCCTCTTAAATGTTTATGCGCTCCAGGATTCTATCTTGGCTCTCTTCTTTTAGCAGTCCTTATGATTCCCTGGGCAAACTCATTCATTTTCATGGCTGATGCTTCTTGAATCTATGTCTCTAGGTAGGCCACCTACCTGGGCTCCAAACACAAAAGGGTCAATTCATCCATGGGTATTTTCACTTGGATGTTCTACAGATGCCTCAGATTTAACAGGTCCCAAACTGAATTCACTGTCTCTATTTTGCTTTTGATTCCGTTTTCTTTGTCTCTTTAGTGGTCTCTCCACCTCATCAATCAAATAAGTCAGAGACCTGGAACATCTTACCTCCTAAATATTTCTAGAAACCATCCATCCATGCATTTCCTTCCCTACTGTCTCTGCCCTAATTCAGCTTCATCTGTCTTGCCTGGTGCCAGAACAATTTTTCTAAAAGCAAATATAATTATTTCACGTTTTTGCTCTGGGTAAAATATAATCTTCTCACCATTACATAGAAAGTCCTTTGTGATCTGGTCCCACCTACCCTTCTACCTCCATCTTTCACCCAGTCTAATCTCTAGCCACACTGAACCTACTGGCCTCTCCCTGAATCGGACATGCTCTTTCAAGCCTTCGTTCCTTTGTATATGCTATTTCCTCTGCCTGAAATGCTCTTACCTTCTTGGCAAACTCATTTTCACCCTTCAAGTCTCAGCTTGTGTTAACTCCTCTGTGAAATTTCCTCTGACATCATTGGGCCAGTATGGACGTTCCTACCTCTAACGTTCTGATTGCATTTTGAACATTCCTCCACAATCCCAATAATTACATTATACTCTGATTGTTTGAACATCTCTCCCCCTTTAGCTTCTAATCTCTTTAAGGTCAGGGGGACTTTGTCTTTCCATCTTTGCATCTTCTGCATGTAGCATATACTGATGGGTCTGTGGATCAAATGAATGAATACATTAATATGTTCCTCTCCCTCCAAATGGTATCTTCTATTTTCACACACAAGAGGGAGCTATGCTCCTTCATTGCCCTATACTATACTCATTCAGCGTTTACCGAGTATCACCAATATAGGGCTATGCACTGGGAAGGAAGGAATTTGACCATCCCTGTCAATTTTTAATACTTTCACAAAATTTTCAGAAAGCCTCTTCAATAGTCGGAGTCTCTAAAGCATAAATGTTCATGTTTAACTGAATCTGAAACACACATTTCAACTCTAGCTGAAGATGAGTAACTAAGAATTTGTGGATCAAATTACTGTAAAATATGTGATTGTAATATTTATTTTAAAGCAATGTTTATTGGTCTAAGAATATTTTTTACTTATAACACCTAGACTGAAGCCATTAGAATTTTGATGGAAGGCTGTGTGTGTGTGTGTGTGTGTGTGTATAGGCTATGAAATGTAGATTATCTTGGTTAGTAAGATAGGAAGATAGAGCAAGTTTGCTAATAGTAAGAATACATGTTATATGCTAGAATTTCAAAATCAACTATTTGCAATATAAGCAAATAATAATAGTGTAATGTATTTTGGTTGGGTCATATATTAACATTATTTCTGCATTTATTTGAAAGGGAGGTTATAAAATATTTTACAAGAATGGCTCATCACTATTAACATGGTGTGTCTAAGAAACACTAACAAAAGGTTTTCTATATCTTAAGTACAGAAGAACAATGTTAACTTATTTACAATTCTCCAAAATATTAAAGATGACTAAAGCTAAAAGACAGTTGGTGGATAAAATTTGCCTTGATTAATTTCTTCTCATTCAATTTTTCAGAGTTTCCAAGAGCTCTCATTGGTGATATACAACTACTAATGAATTAGGTCTTCCTTAATCTACATTGCCTACTTTAATTTTTCATGACCCTGATCTTAATTTGATCTTAATTATTAAGCTAACAGGTCACCTGCATGAAGAGGTAGGACTTAAATGAAAAGTTCCCACATCCAGGAATCCTGCTTTTCCTCCAAAGCTTATAGTTGCCCTCAGGAACGTCTTTCTCCCTGGCTTGCCAAGGAGGGTCTGATAGTAGAATTTCTTCTACTCTGATAAAAATGTCGTGTCAGTCTTCACTTGACCCACTTCTCCCCTAGTTTACCACTATGACTGGTACATATACAT